TAGGGCTGGGCATTTTTTAACCGAATTGATGGTTTATCTGAAAATCGAATTGAAAAAATGAATTTGGTTTGATTTTAATGGTTTTTGGTTTTATTTTTTTGGTTTTGGTATTAATCGAATTTATTTTGGTTTGATTTTGGTTGAGTCTCTTAAAAACCGAAAACCAAAAAATAAAACCGAAATTAAGATAAAATAGATAAAATATATTAAAATATGATAAAATATGTGATAAAAACCGAAACCAAACCGATTTCATTGATAAAAATCAGTAACCAAACCGATTAACTTATAACAATTTTGGTTCGGTTTCAGTTCACACAATTAAAACCGAATTTTTTTGGTTAATTCAAAATCGGTTTTAATTTTAACTGAAACCGGTTTTTGCGGACCCCTACACACAAGCACATTCTTATAAAAATAGTGATAAAGATTTCTTTAATAGGCTTCTTAATTTGATTGTGGTAGGGAAATAGAGGGCAAGGCAGCATTGAGGCATAGAAGGCTCTAGCGGAATTGAAGCATCAGGATCAGGCAATGCTTTAGTTTAGCAATTTAATTTTCTCATTTAGAAAATGATATAATACTGGATAAGGATGAGTTGCCTGCCCCACCTATTTTTTTTTAAAATAATATTATCATGGGGTGGGTTAAAATCCACCTAAAAAAAGAAAGGATGCACCTCAAAGTGATCAAAAATCATTGACCAAAAATACCAGATGACTGTCCCACTTGTCTTTTAGTAAATGTTTGTGTTCATTGATTGATTTTATTGTTTTTGTTTTGTGGTGTATTGTACATAAAGTTTGAACAACGTAGTTGGTTTTTAATAGTAATAATATCTCTGTTTTTTGGATCAAAAAAATCATTTATCTCAACATGCCTACCAAAAAATGTTTCATTTATTTTGTTTTATTTATATAACTTAAATGTAGTATGGTTTATTTTTTAATATTAAAATATAAATATTAAATTAATATTTATATTTTAAGATATGAAAAATTAATTTTTAATTATTAATTTTAAAATTATTAAAAAATTCAAGTTCTATAAAAATATAAAATGAAAAATAAAGTGAGAGTAGTGTTATAATAAGTAAAAAATTATCTATTTTAATAATTTTAATATTATATTAGATTAAAAAACCTTTTATAAAAGATTTATTGAACAAATTTTTATTATAAAAGTACTTTTGTATGAAATTTTACTAAATAATTTTAATTTTTTAAAAATAAAATTTTTACAATAAATCCTTTCAAGTAAGATTTCTATCGAACACTCCAGTCGAACTAAACCGCCCGTAGTGGTTCGAAATGATGATGCAGAGAAATTTAGCATACAGCGGAAACAATAATGGTTGTAATGCAAATATTTTAATAAAAAATAAAATAATATATTTTATAAATTAAATTTATTATTTTATTAAAAATTTAATCAAATTAACTATTATAAAATAGTTAT